TCATATATCTACGTTAATTTTAACTCTAGTAAAAAAATTGACCTCATACATAATGAAATGGGTAGCTTTATCATTTCATAAGAAAAAAATTTGAGAAAATATATTAATTCAGGAAAACTTGGCTTATTAGGCAAATCGGACCTTGCATAGCAGGCCGAGTAGTGACGTTCTGGCTACTAGGTACGACATATATATATATATACACATATATATATATATATATATATATATATATATATATATATATATATATATATATATATATATATATATATATATATATATATATACTGTATATACAGTATGACATATAGATATAAATGTGCTACAAGGGGTTGGGGTGGGTCTTGTCCAACCCCTTCCTGTTGAGGGTTAACAACACACAGGCCTAACGGGCTGACAGCTATAGCACAGGGCAATTTGCCAGGTGTTCAGAGGAGAGGGCCGAGTAAGGGAGAATGAAGGGTAATGACTCGAGGGCACTTTATACAATGATCTGGGGAGTAGGGTGTGGAAGCCAGCACCCACACTAGGATGTTGGTATCATTCCCTGCTTGTCTCAGAAATTGATGCATCTTGGATGCACATTTATTTCTGAGGTCAAGCAAAACACATGGAGAATTTTTTTCCTTAATAAATGAAAGTAGTAAACATATCTTGCATTTATCATCAAGAAAGTAGCACTTATAAACAAATAAGCATGACATAATTGAACATGAAATAACTAAGTAATACCTGTGGAGTAAAATTAAATAGCATAATGCACAAATAAACAAATTATACAGGATGGTTTGACCATAATGAACAGAGAGTACAGAGGCTATGAAGAAGCCTCTAATTTAAATTGGTGTGCAAAATTAAAGGTGTAAACTTGTGTATAAAACAGACTAATCAAACAGTATTGCTTGTAGATAATAGGCTATGCAGGACTCTGTAATTAAAAATAGGTGTACATTTGTGTCTGCACAATGGGAGAGGTCCAAGAAAATACTGAGGTCATGTGAGGGGATCAAACTCACATCCTTGGAGTTTAATTGTGAATATGTTACATGCAAGATTATGGTGCACTGTACTATATGGACACAGGCTTATGGGGTGCTGCACTACTTGCACACAAAATGATACATTATTATTTCCTTACTTGTAAAAAGCCAGTTATACTAGTCTAATATATACTGTTTCCATTAAACAGTCCCCACACAGTCCTGTATCCAAATATTACAGCACCTCATAGGCCTGCATTTAACATCTTCACATTGCACTGTCCAAAATGCTTTTGTGTTAATGACTTTGCAAGAATGTAATGCTCAAACTCTCACAACCCAATGTACCTTCTTGTATATAAATAAATAATTTCAAATTTAAGTTACTCCTCAAAAAACTTCAGCATATCTAATATACTGCAATCTGAATTTTAAGATTACACAGAACATGAGAAAAATCAGTTGGAGCCATAAGAAGGATTCGAACCCGCTCACTGGGTACTTCCAAGCACGCACCCTAGACCACTACAAGTACAGTAATTACCTAAGTGTAGTTACAGGATGAGAGCTACGCTTGTGGTGTCCCGTCTTCCCAACACTCTTTGTCATATAACACTTTGAAATTACAGTACTGACGGTTTTGGCCTCCACCACCTTCTCACCTAACTTGTTCCAACCGTCTACCAATCTGTTTACAGAGTGGTTCTTTATGTGCGGGTTCTAGATACTCCTGAGCATGCGCCCTATACCACAACAAGTGTGAGGGTTCTGGGTACTCCCGAGCACACGCCCTAGACCACTACAAGTGTGCGGGTTCTGGGCACTCTCGAGCACATGCCGTAGACCACTACAAGCGTGCGTCTTATGGGTATTTCTGAGCACGTGCCCTAGACCAGTACAAGTGTGCGGTTTCTGGGCACTCCCGAGCACGCGCCCTAGACCAGTACAAGTATTCACCTAGTTGTGCTTGCGGGGGTTGAGTTTTGCTCTTTCGGCGCGCCTCTCAACTATCAATCAAGTGTTACTAACTATTATTTTTTGTTTTTCACACACACACACCCCCCCACCAAGGAAGCAGCCCGTAACAGCTGTCTAACTCCCAGGTACCTATTTACTGCTAGGTAACAGGGATATCAGGGTGAAAGAAACTCTGCCCATTGTTTCTCGCCGGCACCGGGAATCAAATCCGGGCCACAGGATACATGTCCAGCGTGCTATCCACACAGCTACCGGCACCCCAGAATCCACAAGTGTGTGGGTTCTGGGTACTACCGAGCATGCACCCTAGACCAGTACAAGTGTGCGGGTTCTGGGTACTCCTGAGCATGCGTCCTAGACCACTACAAACATGTGGGTTCTGGGTACTCCCGAGCACGCGCCCTAAACACTACAATTGTGCGGGTTCTGGGTACTGCCGAGCACGCGCCCTAGACCACTACAAGTGTGCGGGTTCTGGGTACTCCCGAACCTCCTTCTGTGCAAAATGGCAAAAAATAACAACATTTATAATACTGTAATTGGTTTTTATTTATGATATACAATTTAATAGAATGCATGAACCATTAAATATGACAGGGGGATTAATATTTTATATCCTGCCTTTCAAGAATTATATCTAGCACTGTAAACCCTCTTCTTGCTTAGCAGCACCATATACAGTATTTTTTTCAGCACTAAATGCAGAGGCAGTCCAGTGCCCAGGTGCCACAGTATATCCAAAATGCTCCCATTTTTAACCCTTTCACTGAAAAAAACATCTTCCAACACTATATTATTCAACTTTTCTCCAAGTGCACCCTCCCCCCCCCCCTAAAAAGAATAACAAATACTGTAACAGTGCTCAGTGATCAAATCCTAAGGACTTCAACTCCTCATATTGGGCACCCAGAGCCCAATATGTGCTGTATATATATATATATATATATATATATATATATATATATATATATATATATATATATATATATATATATATATATATATATATGCATGTATGTATAACTGAAAACTCCACACCCCCAGAAGTGACTCGAACCCATACTGCCAGAAACACTATGCAACTGGTGTACAGGAGACCTTAACCGCTCGACCATCACGACTGGACAAAAGATGATGGTAGCCGAGGCTATTTCCCCATCATCCCGCCGGCACTCTGATGGTAATCTTGGGTATGGTATTTTATCAAATCACCTCATTTTTGGAGGCCACGTGAGCAACACAAATGCGAACAAGCCTGAATGGTCCCCAGGCGTATATGCAACTGAAAACTCCACACCCCAGAAGTGACTCAAACCCATACTGCCAGGAGCACTATGCAACAGGAGTACAGGAGACCTTAACCGCTCGACCATCACAACCGGACAAAAGATGATGGTAGTTTTCAGCTGCATATATGCCTGGAGACCATTCAGGCTTGTTCGCATTTGTGTTGCTCACATGGCCTGAAAAAATGAGGTGATTTGAAAAAATACCATCAGAGCGCCAGCAGGATGATGGGGAAATAGCCTCGGCTACCATCATCTTTTGTCCGGTCATGATGGTCGAGTGGTTAAGGTCTCCTGTACACCAGTTGCATAGTGCTCCTGGCTGTATGGGTTCGAGTCACTTCTGGGGGTGGAGTTTTCCGTTGCATATACGCCTGGGGACCATTCAGGCTTGTTCGCATTAATTAACTTGTTATAAATAAAAAGTGGACAAACACAATATTTTAGCACTTATGCCTATTTGTTTTATTTATGATATTCTATTCTTTAAGATCACTTAATAACTTTGTATAAAGTTACCAGGATCATTTTTTTCATTAGAGAATAGACTCAAAAACAAATTGTTTAAATACTGTACGAAAATATTTAAGAACTAAATTTAAGAATGGTATCAATGGAAAAGTAATTCATGTTCTTACTTGAAAAATGCAACCAGTAGCGAAACAAAAATATGCGGTGACTGGGTTAAAACTGTTTCCAAGACAAAATCCCAGACGCCACCGGAATGTACAGTACAGTATCACATTGCTTGACTTAATTGAAAAGTTTCAATAACATTCATATTAAAGCATATACTCAACAGCACCTAGAAGATAGACTTCTGAATGCCAAGTACGATGAAGTCCTAGAAATAATTCTCAAGTTTGAGAACTGATATCGTGCTCTTAATATATGGACAACACAGAAGCAAACATTGCTCAGCATTAAGCATGAAAGATGAGGCAATAAATTAATCAAAGGAAGGAAGAAGTTGCTTATTATCAATGTATCAAACTTATAACTTGGTAAATTGATGTGAAAGATTTCTAGTGATTCAAGAGCCCCTCTTGAGGCAATCTCCATCAACCATTCTGTTACTTTTCGTCCACCAAGTTCAAGCTCTAAAGTAATTAGATTTGTGGCAGAGAATATAAGTCTTTGCGACAGTAAATATAGAGCATCTGTAACATTATAGGGACTAGAGATGCTCAAGCATTTCAACCGAGATAATTCATTAATATGAATTTCATCTGTGTCCTCGCCTTCAACTTCACATCTTTCGCAAGATGTTACAAGTGACAGCTCCTCTATAAACTGGCACATGTTGATCAGCTGACATAAAACCTTAACATTCACCTCATTAGTAAGGTGAAACTGTAATATTCTCAGAGATGATCCAGTTGCTTGCAATGATGGTATGTATAAACTTAGTAAGTCATCATTACTCATGTATACATCAACACAGATAGTTAAGTACTTGCAATTAATTGTACAAAGAAGCTCTTTAGCAGTTTCACTGGTTGATTTAATCTTCCAAGGACCTTTCAGTAAATGCAAACCAACATGCTCCAACTTTCTATATTTAGTAAAAATATCACGTAATTTTGATGCCAGGCAAAATGATGAAAAGCTCATCTCTCTTAGGTTATAATTGGGTGTTTTTTTTCGTAAAGACTTGGGACCCCTACCTAAAGTTGATGGAGTTACAGGTGGAAAATCAAAAGAATATTTGCTCAAGACCCAATTTTCTGAATTACATGTGATACATCTTATATCTGGGTATGCATATAGAAGGTGATGCAAGAACTCCCGCACATCTCGGTGGCTTCCAACATCAACATATTTTAGTTTCGGGAAAGAGATTCTCATATCCTCATCATTCTGGATTTTATGATTCACAGAATTTTTGTCTAGACCATCAAAAAAGCCTGTGTATAAATTATCCTCAAGACCCTCCCCACCAACAATGACAATTTCAACAGTAGATGATATTTCCTCATATATTTCATATTCTCTGACAACAACAATAACTGTCTCAATGCCAGGAGCAGTGTGACCTATTTCTCTCAAAATTTCCCCCTTGGCAAATTCTATTCTCAGATGAATCCATTTAATCAAGGGAGAATTTTTACAAATAGTAACAACAACAGATGGGCAGTCAAACTGTAAATTAGCAGTGTATAGCTTCTCTATTCCGAAAGGTTGAAGCTTCAAAAGAAAGTTTTTCAAGGTAGCACTGCAGGGATATGGGACAGTCCTCACACTCTGAAAAAACATAATAAAATGTTAAGATATAGAGTACAAATGATTATGTGTGTGTAAACATGAGCACATATGTATTATGAAAGGAAACACCAATGCTGGCACTTTCAGCATTTCTGCTTGAAAGGACATTTTTTGGTGCCTGATAATGAAGTGAGAACGTTGGAGACCAGGATGAGAAAAGGGATGATGATCAACTACATGTTAATTGAAGTAACCAATCAACAAGTAATCCAAAGTCACATCATCATTGAGAGCCACTCTTTAACCTATGAGTCCTGATTATGCCTCAGGATCTTGTGGTGAATGGGTGCCCACGGCCGATGTTCCCGAATTTCGCATAATTCATCAGTTGCAGGTCAGGTCAAGTCAAGGCCTTGTTGAGCACTGCAGGCTACAGGACATTGCAAGGAGCAGCCTATCTAACCTCAGAATGTTACTCAACGATCTCTCAAGAAAGTTGCAAAGTTGAGCGCATCGTGGAAGCAAGGTCAAGGACTTAGTGTGTAAAGCATCCGTCCTGCTGAGCATAAACTGAATGGAAGGTCATTGTTTGGCTCCTCCTCAAATGAATTGAAGGAGGTTGCATGTTTCCTAAAGACAGTCCCAACCAAGGACTGGTATGTGCTGAGTCAAGCAGTGCAGTGAGTCAACATATGCAAAAGCAACCTGCTACTGTGATTACCCAGTGACAGTGTAAGAATAGTAGTACAGTGTAAGAGCCTGCTATGCTGGTAGACATTTTGTGTGAGCAGTGAGGTCCTAACAATTATTTTCCAGTGATTATTTGCAATTTTATAATGGTCAGTACAGTGGTCTGAGTGTGAGCAGAGACAGTTCCAGTAAAGTATCTATGCATTTATTTTGACTGACTACTGACTGCATGTATAATAGTGCATTATTATTCATTTGTAGTTAATTACGAGCTTGATTTACAGTTCTTGTACAGTAAGAATTCTCGTTTGTGAAAGTGTACAAAAGTGGGAACATTTGGAGTTAGCTAGAGCAGTAAAGACTCTTAATCTGAAAAGCATGTGTGGTGTTAGGAGAATATATAGAGCAAGGAATTAAACGGTCATGAACAGATATGAAGTGCAAAACTCAATAAATCAAAAGACTGAACACATTAAAACAGTTTAGTAATATTCAATGAATGTATAATGGTTGATTGTTAAATAATAATAATTAATTTATTCAATTAGGGACAGGAAGCCTATGTATATATACTTTAGACTTGTTTTGTGGTCTTCCCAAGGTCAAACTACTGGCCTTCTCTAGGTTGGAATCCCACAACAGTTGCCTAACTCCTGGGGACCTATTTACTGCTAGGTGAACAGAGGCATTAGGTTAAAAGAAACATGCCTAACCATTTCTGTCCTGCCTGGGAATCGAATCTGGGATCCTCGATTTTGAGATGAGAATGAAGCCAACTAAGAATAACGTGGGCAAACATAGTGTACGTGGAAGCAACGATTGAGTGTGAACAATTGCAAAGGACAAGGCTGAGTGGAAGTGGTTTGTAAAAAATAATGAATGAATGTATCTTATTGTTTATATAGTAAAAAAAATGAATACAAAAATTCACAAGCAGCACTATAAACCTTCAGATTGATTGCTTCTGCCCCTATACATTTTGTACACAATTTTTTTTTTTTTTTTGGGCAAGGGGGGGGGGGAATTTGTATTAAAGAAAAATTTAAAGGAATATTGTTCTTTCTTCCTTGTTGTATCATACAGGAGGACAAACACATTTGCCACACAACATTCAGTTCCCCAATAGGTAAGCTGTATAATTCTGATTTTGTCCGAATCAAGAGACGGTCAAACTCGGTCACAACTTTGATCACATTACCTGAAGATTCAAGTAATCAAGGTTCAAATCAATGAGTGGTCAGCAGCCCCTAAGATAATATCATGGAGGATATTACTTTACCAAACATTTATTCTATAGTATACTGGATTGCACAGTCACAAACTAAGTAAAGGCATAAATGGACAAGGTTTTGGGAGTTCTTCTACTCCCGGAGCCCGGCCTGAGACCAGGCTTGACATACTGTACTTAAAAATACTTATGAACCATTTGAATTTTTAGGTGAATAATATTAGGTCAAGCCAGCTATTGTGTTCCTGGAGGTGATTCAATCCAAAGGCATGTAGATCACTGAGCTCACCTTGCCAAATCCAGCCTTTGTGGAGAACATCAATTCAAGAGTCATCAAAAGGACAGGGCACTGGCACTTAAAGCCGAGAGATTCTAGCAGCTCTGAGCACGCTTCTCGCAGCTGCTTGCGGAGTTTGGAGTCTTGTTTACCAAACCATCCTTCATCATCCCACCACTGCTTAACTTTCACCATATGTTGCTGTGAAAAAAATATAAAGTACCGTAATATTTTATTCCAGCTGATCAGGTAAAGTAATCCCATCCTCTATACCACATATATCTTACTATACAAGTAGTATTATGAATATTTAATACAAAAACTACAATTTTTCTCAAAACCAAAGGAATTAAAAGCTAATACAGTGCTTATATCAGCTAAAAAATTTAAATGTTTATAATGTAAATAAAATACACAGCACTATAAAACTACGGAACATAGTTGAATAAAACACACTTTTCTTAGCCAATCTCTCACTTGCTCCCCAAGACAGTGCCTGAGTCCAATTAAAGTACTGTACTGTACTAGTTGCACACCCGGCTCCAGTCAATATTTACCCCACTGTTGCAAGTAGCTTGGTAAATGCTCTCACCATAAAGTGGAGGAGACCACTTGCTCTAAGATAAAAGAACATAAACAATCTACACACTGTAATCCATATAAGCCAGAATATCTGCTATGGACATAAAGGAAAAGGCAGCCCACAAACCTGTGGACAACATGAGCTCACAGAGAAACAACAGGCTCATGAAACTGAACCACCCAAAGAGTCACCTCAGAGACAACCAAGCCCAGGAACAAGGAAAAACAGACACAGGATTAATGAACAAAGTGGCTATCTGAGCCCTTTGAGTGGCATGCAGGTAGTGCCACACCACTGCCACAGAACAAAAGCATGAAGAAACCTGAGAACTCTCTAAATGGCAAAGACAAGACATGCACTTTGAAAGCCAACAGGACCCTCCATCACGGCTACAGGAAAAGAGAGACAAAAATATTCAGTATCAGTTTATGTCCAATAATCAACTAAGGAAAAAATCACACCTGAAGTCAAAAATACAGAAAGGAAAATTAAAAAAAAGCATGCCAAACCACCTGGTACAGCCAAAAACATGACAATTGAAAACTCGGTAAGTGTACACCATACAGTTGGAAGCATACTCGACATAAGTCTATACGCAAAGTTTGACAGATAACTTCGAACCAATGAGGAACCTTTCTTGACTGAATTGCTGAAAATAGATGGAGCCTCGGAAATATATGCACAGGTTCAAAGCCCGAGTCCAAAGGCTCACAAACCAAGCCAGAGTCAGCCGCCAATGAGTCTGAAGGATCACCCTAATGATGTAAGTCTGAAAATAATATGGAAAATTTGAACTAGAGGGAAACATACTGGAAATCCCAATGTCTCCAGGATAACAAAAAAGCATGTACTGCAAATCCCTTGCAATCTGAGAACTGGTCATCACCAGAAGCTTTCAGTTCCACACATAAGGCAGCCATGGGACAGTGTATGTCTTTTTGGGGGGTTCCCAAGGCTGCTCTGGGGGTGTGTTTAACTGAGGCTAACTTTTCATCACATTATGGCTCTGTGTAATCAAACTGCATCAGTCATAGGTGTATTCTTGGGTTCACAGCCTTCAGCAGTTTGCTGCTGGATATTCTTCTCGATGATGGCCTGTTCTGACATCCTTGGTTTATGCTCTTTTTAGGTTCAATTGCACCTTTGATGTCTATATTCTTCAAAATAATACCCACCAATACTACCAGTAACTTCAACACTACAAATACTGCAACAGCTCTCCTTCAGGTAAACTTCTTCCCTGGTGACAAAGCTCTATGGAGAGGGGGGGGGGGGGTCCTGTCTACTTCCTGTTCTGTGGCATCAGGAACACCACTCTGCACAATAGAACAGATTTCTTTTCTAGTTTTCATAATTTTAACACTTTCGCTCGGTAAAGACGCAGGATGGTGTAAAAAATTTAGTAGACAAATGTTCGGTAACGACGCAGTATGGTGTCAAAAATGTAAAAATTTGGCCTGCTTTCAGCTTTACTGTGGGAGGGGCGCAACACGGTTTTGGACATTATATGCATATACTCCTGTAGGAAATTTCATTGTGAATACATTGATACCAAAATGAAAGACCTAGGATCAGAACTGAGGTAACAAAGTTGAAAATTGTATACACATTTTATTGCTCTTTATTAGCGCTCACGGGGGTAACGCTCCGTCACTTTCTCTGTTTGCTGTTGGTGGTACGCCGGGCTTTGGGACTTTATATTTGGATATACTCCTGTAGAGAATTCTATTGCGAAGACAATGATACCAAAATATAAGACCTAGAACGAGAATTGAGGTGACCAAAGTGAAAAGAGTGTACACTTTATTGCTCTTGCATGCTCCATGATAACACGTCTCACTTTCTCTGTTGCGGATGGTACGCTGGGCTTTTGGGCTTTATATGCATTTAGTCCTGTAGAGAATTCTATTGCAAACACATTGATATCAAATTGAAAAACCTAGGACGATAATTGAGATGACAAAGTTGAAAAGAGTATTCACTTTTCAGTATTACCACGCTCTCTAATGCCAGGCACGCCTTGGGGTGGCGCAGTGTTCTCTTGCGGGTAACCTTGGCCCACTTTCATCTTGTCGGCGGGTGAAGCGCCCCGCAGTTTTTGACATTATTTGCCTATACTCCTGTAAGGAATTCTATTGTGAACACATTGATACCAAAATGAAAGACCTAGGACGAGAACTGAAGTGACCAAAGTGAAAAGTGTACACATTTTATTGCTCTTGCTCGCTTCCGGGTAACTCGCTCTCACTTTCTTTGTTTGCTGTGGGTGGTAAGCCATGCTTTTGGAGTTCATATGCATTTAGTCCTGTAGAGAATTCTATTGCGAACACATTGATACCAAATTGAAAAACCTAGGATGAGAATTGAGGTGACAAACTTGAAAAGAATTTACACTTTTCAGTATTATCGCGCGCTCCCGTGGAATGCCCGGACCCACTTGGGGTAGCGCGGCACTCACTCGCTCAGAACAATAAAGTGTTAAGTTGCTTCTAAACAACTCTTGCCTTAGGCTAGTTAAGACCTGACTACAATAGCTCAGAAATCAAGATTTGAATAAACACAAATAGTCATTTTCTAAACACAATTTAGATCCTCCTGTGCATGTTTTTTTTTTCTTTTCAGTCAATGTGACAGGGCTCCTGGCTGGAAACTTGGTGTTGGTGAGGGTGCTGCCATTTGGCAGTGATCAGGGGAAGTAGCCAGTTGTGAAATTAGTGACTTAAAAAAAAAGACCTGTGTGAGTTTATGAACATACTTTCTATAGTTGCTCCAATCAGGATGTTTGAAAAGATCTTGGTTATCTAGTTAAACAACACTGCTGTTAGGAGTATGTAACTGTCAACCTCAAATATTAACTTTCCTATTCATTCATAAGCCTGACAATTTTTTCTAGTTTATAATGTTTACAAATACACACACTATAAAGCAGACCTACCACTAACAGTTCTTTTGAATCTAACAGATGTTCATTACATTCTCCTGTCTGTGCTAAGATAACATCATCTATGGTATCGTCACATATATCGGTTGCAGCAGTTGCATCTCCAGACTCTACAGAGCGTGGCTCTTCACTGTGGTGGCAACTCGCTTCACTCTCACCCAGGTTCAGATGGGAATCTTTGGGAGCCAAATGCAGGCGATCAAACATATTCAGGAAAGGCAAGTATTTCTTTAATCCCATAGGGACAGCATTTTGGAGAAGCAGGTGAGCCAGCCGGATGATTACGATGGCATGGAGTGTCTTTGGAGTGTTGCTGGGACATGTCAGACAGGACTCCCTCATAATGGGGACACCACCACTTCCTGGTCGTGGTGCCAGGCACAGGAATGACTGTCCCTCAGTCAAGTCAGTCTTGCTGTCATTAACACTTCATGATGCAACTCAGAACTGTAAATACATAATAAGATAAATATAAAATAATGTGAATGAGAGCTTATATGTACAATATATTCAGTCACCCAAAATTATTAACAGTGTGTGTCAACTTATTAACTGTGTTCAATTAGGTATAAATGTTTTTGATACAATGATAAAACATATTACACTTAAAGATTATGTTATAACATTTAAGTTCTTGCTTTATCTGTTTCCACATGAGTAAAAGAATACTGATAAATATTAGAATCATGAGCAATCTGTCAGTCAGAATGGGTACATCTACAAGCTCTCAAGCTATAAGACTGATTGAGGCCAGACAACCTTGGCACCATATTGCATAGCAACTCTATGTTTGATAGAGGACTATATAAGGCATTTAATTTGAGGGAATGAGGATTTAGGCAGATCTGATATAAGATTTAATTGGATTGCTCTTGAGCCATGTCATAGCTAGTAATGATTACTATGGAATGTCACATGTCTTGCAATCTGATGACTATAATTAAGTTCTGTGGCAGGGAAGGTATTATTCCTGCTACCACTAGCTCTTCTACTAGGGTTTCAATCTGCCAACGTTCGGAGACCAGCCAAGTCCAAATATAGACAGCTTTTCCCCTATTTCTTTCTGCTTTGTGTGTTTCTTAGGTGATTTGGAGTTAATTTTTGTCACTGAGACCGACAATATACCACTGTCAGTGCCAACCTCCAGATACATCAAGTGCCAACCTCCGGATACATCATATTACCAAACACCTAGAATTATCCTTCCTAGACATCTATCGATCTATCAGCTTAAATTTGGAGGAGCTTACAACTGTTTGAAAGGAATAAAAACCAAAATTAATAATTTTAAATTTTTTATTTTGACACCATATTATTTTCCTTGTAATTCTTGTAAGGCCTATGGACCTGGATGACAAAATACTGGCCTCAAATATTTTCCAAAAATGTTCATTTGTAGGTATCTACCATATTATATCTTTGGCAGTCTAGTCTCTCTGAGCATTCCCAACTGTAAGCATTCTCTGCTCCCTGGGCCTCTCACAGGCTGCTCAGCAATGGGAAAAATTCTTAAAATCATTTTACTTTTTCTAAGTTATTTGTTGGATTATAACCATAAATTTAGTGTCAAAATGTTTGCAAATTAATTTTCTAGCAAATAGAGGAAAAAAAAACACATCTGTATTTATGCATGCAAAAGACTATGCATGACTAATGAAAATACAAATGTTCACGAATAGCAATCGAACAAACTGTTCTAGTGCCATTGTAATGTTTACTATCGGAGTATGGATGATACATTTTAGTGACATTGGAATGCAAAGGTTTTAATTGATGTACTTGTGGTATATGTATGCAGATGTTCTAACAATGGAGGTTTTTAAACTGTTTTTAAACAGTGCCTACAAGTTTAACACAGTGGTATTATTTAAGTTATAGAAAATCTAATTTTCTGTTGAGTGAAAGAAAAATAATAGAAGCTAGGCAGCTGTTCACACTCCACTAAACCATACTAAATATAATCCAAACAAATTAAATCTCACCTAATCAATCCTAGCCTAACAGTGTATTATATATAATAATAATAATAATAATAATAATAATAATAATAATAATAATAATAATAATAATAATAATAATAATAATGTTTACTTAGGAAAAAGTACATACATACAAAATGAGTTACAAGCAGAATGTTGGATATATACTATTATGCCTAAAGCCACTAATACGCGCAGCATTTCGGTAAAGATGTGGGGAAAAAACTTAAAACTAATTGAGATCAAAAGCATGAAGTGAAATGACGAAGAAAAAAAAAGAATGACAATAATGACATGTTGAATGGAACAGCAGTTGCAACAAAACAGCAGATAGCAATTTTAACTAAATAAACAGATGGACTACAATTTTCTTTAAGTTTATACATGGCAAATATCAGCAGTTTTACAAGTTAGTGATTTAATCATTGATGTTTGATAATAGCAAAGACATAGGTTGACATTTAGAAGGTAAGGTAGGTTATGGCCAAATATAAATACAAAAACCATTTGTTCTGTATGATATGTACAGTACTGTATATGCAAATTTGGCACTTTCAAGTTCTACCTTAGCATCTACTACATCTCTATATCTACCTCCTAAAGCTCTTTTTTTTTTTTTTACCTGAATTTACAAGAGGTAGGTTACAAACCATGAACAGTTGGACCTGAGGTCGCTCCACTAGCAGTCCTGAGACTGATGGATGCCTACTACAATATATATATTACACACAAGAAGGTACCCGAAGGTATGCCCGAAACGCTTTGCATAATAGTGGCTTTAGGCACTGTATGTACTAGCTCTACCTATAAGTCAACCAATCCTTGTAAAAATTTATTGTATGTATGTACCTTACCTAAATAAAATTGTATTGTATTGTATTGTATTGTACACTGGGTTTGTAAGAGTACATAACATTGGTGTTTTTACATTCTTGCAAAGCCAATAACTCACATAAGTGTTTCGGCCAATTACATGGAGCAACGAAGCAGAAAGACGTACTCACCCGCACTGGCGAATCAGACCTGCATTATATATGCAGTTAGAGGTGCAGAAGGCCCGCCCTGCAGGGGTAGGGCCGTCTCCCCAAGGGTTCAGTTCCTGAACCGATTATGTGCCTCTGTAATCCTTTACACCACCGCCCACGGGATGGGTATGGGGTGCATAATAAAGAAAGAAATAGAGTTGAATTGGCCTGATTAAGACTTTATGACCATGTAATCTATGTTTTGCTCCACTACTTACTGGTTGAGTATGGGGTGCATAACAAATAATAGCCTCCTTCGGGGGCGCCTTGGGCCGGATTCAGGAAGGTACTTACGAAGGGTTTTCCTCTTAGCTAAGAACGAATTCCTTCTTAGCGCCTTCGCTTGTTTCTAAACGTGTTAGTCTTAAATCCTTTAATCTCAAATCTTGCTACAATGTACCTCTTATAATATATGTTATGTACTCTCGCAACCCAATGTACCTTCTTGTATATAAATAAATAGATTTCAACTGTAAGGGGGGTATAGTTTGCACCTTGTTATTCTAATAATGGATAAATAATTCTAATAATGGAAGCGCTAATTATATGAACAAGTGCCATGTATTTATTCAGACGAGAACAACAGCGAACACAAAGCAGCGCATATACGAACGGAATGGTTTGTATGTACAAACTTCTCAGTGAACGAAGTTGTTTCTAGCCCGGTATCCGAAATTGCAGTATACGACTTGACCAGAATAATATCGTAAGCAAGGCGATTCGCCCGCGGATTTTGGAACCTACGTTATTTGTTTATTTATTTATTTATTTATTTATTTATTTATTTATTTATTTATTTATTTATTTATTTATTTATTTATTTATTTATTTATTTATTATTTATTTATTTATAAACAAAAAGGTTCATTGGGTTTATGAGCGTACATAGCATTGATGTTTTTAACATTCTTGTAAGGCCACTAACATGCATAGCGTTTCGGGCAGGTCCTTAGTCTAACAGATAATTTTAAGTAGGCAATTTCTAGTAAAACTGAAAAAATGTTTAACAGGTACATTGTAAGAAAATTCAACAAAGTTCAGTAGGTACATCAAAGTAAAATTTGAGGGTTATCAACAGGTGCATTGCAGCATAATTTGAGGATTATAATGCAGAAAATATGCTTTTAATATAAGCCAGAATTTCTTTATTGAAGATCAGCATTGTTCCAAATGGATAACAAAAACTGGAACTCAACTCAGAATGTATCAGGTTCATGATTTGTACAAAGAGAAACAACAACGGCACTTTCCTGCACCGTGGGAGGTTACACCCTTTCCAGTTTTAATCCCTCACTTTCCACCCAAGAAGCAAATTAGAGATCAGCCCAAGCTTCGTCTTGAGGCAAAGCTTGCCTTAAGCCATATTGATGCTCTGTCCACAGAGCATTCTCTCTCTCAAATCATATACACTGATGGTTCCCTACACCGTACCACGGGTGCAGCTGGAAGTGCAGTTGTCCTGACAATGGGCGATGGCTTGTACTTTGAGTGGGGAGTCCGTATAAACAATTGGGCCTCTACCCTTCAGACCGAATTATTTGCCTTGATCCTTGCACTGAAATGTGTACAAGTCTCCAAACTTGATACATTAATTGTAAGTGACTCCTTATCATCCTTAAATGCTCTCAACTCTTTAAGACATAACTGTAACGTGCTCGTGTCCGAAGCTAGACACAAATACAACAAAATTATTAAGGATGGTAACAGAGTCCATTTCATGTGGTCTCCATCTCATGTTGGCCTCCGAATGCATGATAGAGCTGATAAATTAGCCAAAGAATCTGCCTTTAAAGGAGCCGTTGAGTGTAACCTTGGATTGTCAATGAGCAATCTGAGAGCAGCAGTACACCGAGAACTTCAACAAGATCTTGTAGATCTGAGGCAAAGTGAAATTGACACCAGTAATTCCATCTATCATCATACTATCATGCAAGAGGAGCCACACATCTATGGATCATCCAATAAAATCAGCAGACTTCTAGATGTTACTACTGCTCGGCTTAGACTCGGTTACAAGTATCTCTGGGAATTCTCATTATCTGCTGATGTAGATCTGACCAAATGTAAACTGTGTCAACAAAATTATTCGCACACCCTCCGTCACTATGTGATGGAGTGCGAAAAGATACATGAATTTAGAGACAATTCTATAACCAATGTTCCAGCGATGTGTCAATATTTCATTCAAAATGATCTGCTACCAGAAATTTTAGCCAAATATCCCCAGTTTGCTAACTGTAGGTAGTAACTAAGTGATTGTAACCTATCCACCGCTGCCCACTGGATGAGGGGCGGTGTGCAGGACAAACATATAAATTTTGACACTAGCTCTCCACATATGTCAGTTGCTTAATTTAGAACCTGTACTTGAGGTCGATCTCGAACCCATTGTTGATGTGACAACTTATATTGAATTTTGTAACTAGCTCATCAAGATTGTAACTTGCTTAGCTAAATGAATTGTGGGGTTCGGTCCCTGAGCCCATTATGTGCCTCTGTAACCCTTTCCACTACCGCCCACAAGATGGGTATGGGGTGCATAATAAATGAACTAAACTAAACTAATATAACAATAATGATATAAGGTGATAGCAATGATTACAAGGATGAGGTTGTATGGCTTAGGTACATATATTGGGGATTGGATAGCACTAGATACAGTGCGAGTTTATTTATTTATGCATATACAAGAATGTACATAAGGAATGTGAGGATACAAATATGGTAATTACAGTCTTGTAAAGCCACTAGCACGCGCAGCGTTTCGGGCAGGTCCTTAATCTAAGAAAATTTTAAGGAGGTAAATACTTGCAAAATTTATAGACAAAAAAATGATAACAGATTACATGGAATGAAAAAAAAAGATGAGAGAAAATTATAGGTACAGTATATTAAAGCACATAGGTAGCTATGATTGATTGCAATGACAGCTTAAAATGGTAGTTGACAACAAATTGGTAGGCATAATACAGCAGAAACAATATAAGATTGATTGCAATGACAGCTTGAATGGTAGTTGACAAAAATTGGTAGTCACAATACAGCATATGGCTAGCACATAAAAGAAGACAGCAATGAACACAATGATAAGGTTGTTTGATATTACATAAAAATTAGGAGATTGGGTAACACTAGGTACAGAGCAAATTTAAAGCTCAGTGTAGGAAACTAAATAGATGAAGTTAGGTACTTTTTGGTTTTGCTTTTAAATAAGGCAAAAGTTTTACAGTTTTTCAATTCACTAGGGAGTGAGTTCCATAGACTAGGTCCCTTAATTTGCATAGAGTGTTTACACAGATTAAGTTTGACCCTGGGGATATCAAAGAGATATTTATTTCTGGTGTGGTGATAATGGGTCCTATTACATCTGTCCAGGGAGAGTTTCAGAGCATGGTTTACATTTAAGAACAGGGTTTTGTAAATGTAGTTGACACAAGAGAATGCGTGGAGGGAGTTAATATTTAGCAAGTTTAGGGATTTAAACAAGGGAGCTGAGTGTTGTCTGAAAGCAGAGTTAGTTATTATTCTGATAGCAGATTTTTGCTGTGTGATGATGGGCTTAAGGTGGTTTGCAGTGGTAGACCCCCATGCACAGATACCATAATTAAGATAGGGGTAGATTAGTGCATAATATAGTGAGAGGAGAGCAGAGTTAGGAACATAATATCTGATTTTGGAGAGTATACCAACTGTCTTAGAGACTTTCTTAGTTATGTGTTGAATGTGGGTGCTGAAGTTGAGTCTCTTGTCTAGGAATAGGCCAAGAAACTTGCCATCATTTTTATAACTGATGTTAATGTTGTCTATCTGTAGCTGAATTGCATTTGATGATTTGCTTCCAAATAAGATGTAGTAAGTCTTTTCGATGTTTAATGTTAGTTTGTTCGTTGACATCCATAAGTGGACTTTTTTAAATTCATTATTCACAACATTATTTAGTGTATGTTGGTTGAGGTTTGAGTAGATAAGGGTAGTATCGTCAGCAAACAATATAGGTTTGAGAATATTAGAGACATTAGGCAGATCGTTTATATATATAAGAAATAGAAGAGGTCCTAAGATGCTGCCCTGTGGCACTCCAACGGTAATTGGTAGAGTGGAAGAAGTTGTATCATTGATGGTTACATATTGGTGTCTGTCACTAAGATAGGATCGGATGTAGTCAAGGGCAAGGCCTCGGATTCCATAATGCTGGAGTTTAAGTAAGAGGTAGTTGTGATTAACAGTATCAAAGGCTTTTCTTAGGTCAATGAAGAGTCCAATCGGAAACTCATTTTTGTCAAGGGCTGAGTAGATAATGTCAAGGAGACTAATGATTGCATCATTGGTGCTCTTTTGGGACCGGAAGCCAAACTGGCAGGGGCTGAGTATGTCGAATTTTACGAGGTAGGAATAGAGCTGTTTGTAAATAATTTTTTCAAATGTTTTTGATAGAATGGGTAGATTTGATATTGGTCTATAATTGTTTATGTCCGCCGGATTGCCTCCTTTATGGACTGGCGTTACTCTTGCTTTTTTGAGGATATCAGGGAAGGTGTGATACTCTATAGATTTGTTGAACAGTAGTGCTATGGGTGGGGCAAGGGCATGGGAGGCTCTCTTGTACACAATGGACGGAATTTCACTGGTGTTCCCTGCCTTGGTTTTTAGAGAATGTATGATGGACACAACATCTGCCGGGCTGATTGGTGAAAGGAGAAGAGAGTTTGGATAGCTGCCTGAGAGATATGTGTTAATATGTGTCTGAGTCTGTGGGATTTTACTGGCAAGATTAGCACCAACCGATGAAAAGAAACTGTTAAATTCATTTGCCATTTCTAAGTCAGTTGACGGTATACCCCCATCCTTGTAGAGTTTTATTTGGTTATGTGAGTGTTGTTTAGTTCCTAGGATACTAGAGATAGTTTTCCAAGTGCTTTTCATGTTGCCTTTTGCTTCATTGAATCTATTCACATAATATACAAGTTTTGCCTTTCTTATGATACTGGTAAGCATTGATGAGTACCTTTTAGCTACTTCCTTTGAAACTAGGCCAATCCTAACTTTCTTTTCATATTCATGTTTCTTGTT